ATTGAAACTACTCACTCCTAAGAGACATAAAACTTCACTCACGCTAATGTCAAGCAACTTTTAAAATCAGGGTGGAATGTAAAATGGCTTGTGAAAGTCAATGATAATGTAGTTATATAGAAATAAGGACATAAATTTTGAAGGTTTTCTTGTACTGGTTAGTGGGACACGCTCATTCTAGTCTGAAAAGATTGGAAAAAATGTCAGCTTATATCAAAGAGGACTGATGTTTGATGTTAGCACATGGCTCGATCATGTCACTCACTGTTTCTGCAATTCCAGGCTAAATAGATTTCTGAAAGTGGTTTGCACATTTATTGTTGGACATAACAGTATATGCCTGAATTGAATCAGTTGGTTAAGGACTGGTAAAAAAAAAAACTTCAAACCTTTCTCCAGGCCCATGACCCTCGAAACTGGTCACACAGGAGGCAAGGTCATCATTTCAGCCAAACAAAATCACAAGCAAATTCACCTGAGGCAGGGGCTCCCTGCTGAGCTACCACTGTTACCACCACCACACTCCACCTGTAACAAACTCCTCCAAGTCTCTGGCTCACTCTGTAGCCCCCTCACGCCTGCAGCAAGTCTGGGTAGGTAACATTATTCCTCTCTAATAGTATCTCTTGGTCTCTCAGCCTCATAAAAAGAATTATTATCAGCTCTCTTAAAAATCATCAAGCACAGATGTAAAAAGGCTCAAGAGCATGAAATTGTAGCTACTAAAGGGTGTACTTATGCAACACTAGGGTGTGATACAGGCCTCAAATAGCCAGAGCCATTGAAGTAAAACGAAAAAAGACGCTATTGCAGCGCGTGACAGAGACAATTGAAAAAAAAAAAAAGCAAAGAGGAGAAGAAGAGGGAAAGAACAAAATGTGAAATGGAAAGGGTCAGAGAAAGACAGCATTTTATGCCACATATGTAATTCTGCAGGGTTTTGTTTTATTTTCTCAAAGCACGTTCCCTTACGGACTCGTGCATCAAACAGCGCGACAACAGAAAGCTTATCATGTTGACGGCTTATCTCCTACTTTCACCTCCTCAAAGCAATAAACACACACAGAGCAAGTGGAAGATGGGAAATGCACAACAACAGAGGATGGCTCTTCAGGATCAATGCCACTACAGCTTTCCCTGTCTTTTTTTTTTTTTTCTTCATCTTCCAGGTCCCGTCCGAGAAACCGAAACAGTCTGAGGCTGTTGACGGAGCTATGGATTATCCTGTATGCATGGAATGACCGATGTGAACAGAGTCTGAAGCATGAAGGACACCGATCGTGTCAGCCAAGGCAAAGGCATATTACAACAGAGCGCAGACCTCAAGGACTCAAGTAGATTAAAACTGATTGAAATCCCATTTGTGGCATTTGTGGTCTGTTCTGTCAGCATCCCTCCCCACCCGTCACCCTCCACCCGCTCTCTTTTTCAATGTTCCCAAAGTGAGCCGAGTGTGAGTCTGAATATAAAACAAATAAGATTGCATTTTTGGAGACAAGCGCCTCAAATTTGCATGGCAATAATATCAAGCTGTGAGATTTTGTAATGTGAACAGCAATAAAGAAGTGTGTGTTTGTGTGTGCTTGAGCGCTTGTGTGACTGTGTATGGGTGTCAGTTTTTTTTTGACGGGAAACAACGTGGCATTATGGAAGGAAACTGATAAATCACTATCTGACAGAAAAATATGTACACAGATGTGCATCTGCGTACGGGCATGCTCGAAACCAAACATTCGATTCAGTCACACGTGCATGTACACACACCTTTAACCGAATGCAAAAACGCACCAACATGCGTTTAAAATGCTTGATGCTTTTATTTTAGTTAGCAGAAGATTTCAAATCTGAGGTTATTTAGGAGATTTAGGGATTATTATGTTGGCTGTTTTATTATGTTGTATAAAGCTTTATAATGGCTGGCAGGAGGCACTGCCTGCAAAGTCCCCTGTGTGCAGCAATTGCCACGTATTACATGCAAAATCATCAGCTGTGTGTTAATTTTAATTATTTTAAGATCATAGTAAAATCCTCCTGCACAGATGTGGGTATATGCTGTTTACCTGCAAAATGAACCACTAAACCTACGTGCAGTGCATACAGATACATACCTTGCTTTTGTGAATTTACTATAAGTTGTTACATTTACTGCAGTACATAACACTGATTGCAGAATTTTTACATCTATAGCTATAGTATGAAGAAGAAACAGGAAGGCTGAGGGGAAAATCATCACACTTTACATAGGTAGGAATTCTAGTTTATTTTAGTTGCAAAAGCAAAAATGCAGTAAAGCCTAGAGCTTTCAACAGAGTACTTAATTGCAATGGTTAAATAAATTATGCATATAGGATAAGTAATTACACACCTAAAAACAATGGTCAAAACAGCTTCTTCATGCTTTGTGTTGAGCACTTCGAATTGAAATGTGCTTTGAAAAGGAAAAAGTTCCATGCCACAGTGTGCCCTGTTAATGTATGTAGCGCATATGCACACTATCGGTCTTTTTTTTTTTCCAGTAGTTGGTTATACCTGGCATCCACCTCCACGGGTCTCTTGAGGCAAGCTGATAAGCTTAAGCTCTCTTCAATAAGAGTCACATCTAGCCTACACAAAACGCCACCGTGCGCCATGGAGTCCACGTTGTGACAAATACTTCCTGATGTTATCGAGATACTGAGGATTTATGCAATCATGCATACCGCTTATTTAATGGCAAAAGTGAAGTGGCTCCACAGCGCAAGCGGTTATGTCAATAAGATCGGAACTTCCTTGAAACGAGAAACTGAGACGCGCAGCTCAGTGTGAAGCAGTTTAGCCACAGGAAGAAAATGATTTTGGAGAAAGACCAGATTTCGAATGTCATGTTGACTCCTGTCTGCTGAACAAATTGGTATTAACGTTCAGTCCATTTAAACACGGTTCAAAGCCGTCTCTTCATGAGATCAGCAGGTAAAAAACAGTCAAACAGCGCGCTGAGGATATGTAGCTCCTCTAACCAGGCATACAACTGTGAAGGCACAGTTGAAAACAGGCAAAACAAGACATCCACAGTTACAGTTCACTGCAGGTCTTTCTTGATAATAGAGCCATTTGTTCTGCCTTCACCTGAGCACACAACCTCCCCTCCCTCAATGCGTAGAGGCCACATCACGCGAGAGAGTAAAAGGCACTCGAAAAGGCCATGGGGCTGCAGTGAAGATACCTTATTTCTTAAAATTCTTTGAGATGTAATGGAGCCAGAATGGTGATAACGAGGAAAAGGACTCGAGATGACCAAGTTCAAGCTTCCCCTTGTTAAATAAATGTATGCGAAGATGTCTGGGCAACAACTAATGAGCCCTTTTCTACTGTAAACACCCATTAAGTTTCTTTTCTTTGTAATGATCATTTCTCTACCTTTTGGCTGTCCATTGAAAACTATGCATTTACCATTTGAAAACACATTGTGAGCAGTTAGCATTTAGGGGATGTTTTAGTTTAGTTATGCTGATATTTTGAGAGCTTTTTGCAAGAAGGTGAGAATTCTTAATCTTTTATTCAGGAAATGCAGGGATTATGTGTTGTATCTCAGTAATAAAAAGTTCAGTTATGTCAAGATTTGTAATAACAACGCTTACAGTAATGACTTCCCACTTGAAATATGAATGTTAGCCTTTTTCTTCATGTAATTGCTGCAGCTGACTTTGCTATTTCTATGCTACTAAGCTCAGTGAAACGCAGTTGGCTTTTTACTCAACTGGATAAGGAAACTACTGCCCGACTATATAGGATTGTAAGGACCAATATCTGGTGATGTAAAAATCTGATGTATCAGCCAAACTTCTTTTCTTCAGAAACACAAAATATTAAAACATTTCTCCAACATTTGTATGCATAGTTATTTATGGGTCCTTACTAAGATGATTTAACAATGCAGTTCGCATTTGATGTCAACATGAAAGTTGCAGACGATCTTCTGGCAGACAAAATATGCAAAATCAACACTTGCAACATTGTTAACCAATGTTTCTAACATCTTTTTATATTTTTATTAATCAGCTATTGCAAATTGCTTGTCAAATAGCTAATATCGCTAATAGTAAATAGGTAATAGTTCTGCTTATATCATGTAGCTTCTTGTATTTGTTTGGAATAACTGTCTCTAAGTCTCTGACAGTCAACATTAAGAATTCCTTCATCTGCAAGATGTCTGCACGTATTACACTCTCCCAGAACATTTCAGTGTATTTAGATTTTTGCATCACCGTAGAGTGACAGAAATTTACATGACCACTAAATAGAGTTTGGCCTCATCTTGTGCAACTGTATAAAATGTTCTCTTTATTTTGAAATTGCAGCTCATATCAGCAGATAACCGTCGACTTCAAATTGCTTGATCTAAAGATGACAGTCTTATTATTTTGTATCATATTATTAGGATAAAGCAGCCTGAGAAATTAAGCAAGCACTTACATTAAGAGAGCTTAAAGCAGCTTTCATTTTTGCTTCCAAATGACAAATGTTGCTTTTCTTCTCTATTAATAATATCAATAACAATAAGAACTCTGGTTGGACTAAAACTGACATTATTGCACAGGAAGTGCCACTCTTCCATGAAAAATAAGTCCATCTGTTGGTGAGGGATTTAGAAACACCCCTGGAGCTTCTTCTTCTTTTCTTTTTTTTTTTTAAAGATGAAACAGAAAAAAAGATTTAGTGCAGGTTTTACTAACATAAAGAAAGCCCTGTGATCTACTTTGCTCCACACTGTAGGTTTATCCACCTTAAGCCCTAACTAAAAAAAACAGCGAAAATCTAGCTGCCCCGAGACTGTTGATGCAGTTTTCTACGCTCGGATATGGCTTAATTTTACATTCAATTTTCTTTACATGCTTCAAGGCAAACACAATTCAATGTAAAAGCCAAACAACCCCGAGGAAAATCGTGTTCATGTCTGAGTAGTTTTCACTCTTAATGACAGCAAAGCTAAGTCAGAATCTACCCCTCCCCCTCTCTCTTACCGTCCACACAGGCGGGTCTAGCTCTTGTAGTTCCAGCGATCTGGCCCTTCTTACAGGCGCAGCGGGCCGTCTGCCTGGCGATGGTCCGCCGTGGTTGGCTGCTGTCCCTGTCCAGCGTCACAATCTCACATGTCCCCGCTGCCAGCTGGCCTGGAAATGAGATTGCACCACAGGACACGAGGTCAGAAAGATGAAATCATAAACAGGGCAAAATAAATGACTCTGTCTCTTCTGTTAAATTTGTGTTGTGTTGTATGTTCAGCAGCGTAGAACTTTTTTTTAAATCCTTGGTAGCTCAGCTGACAGGGCAGCAGGTTAACAATAGCTAATTTGTAGTGTCAGGTCTTATGAGAACAACCAATGCACATTCTGAAATGTCCTTATCTTTAGCAAAGACTCTAGACACATTAATATGCACGCTAAGATCATTTAACCTCAGAAAGGTACGACTCATTGTGCTGTATCGGTTGTATCCTGGAAAGTAGATGCTTTATTCCCCTGCTGAAGTATAGGCAGGTGTGATTTCAGTGCTGGGTTTAATAAAAGCTAGAGAGGAGTAAGGGCAAGGTTCAATGATGGAGTGCATCCAGGTTCTTCTATTTACGTTTACAAGACAGAGCACTGGCCTTGGTGAAAGTGTGCACCTCTTGATGTCCTTTTAATTGCTCACAAATTCAACTTTCTTTTTCTAAGAGGCGTTGCGGTGTCTAACTTGAATAAACAGATTGGAGATGTGAAAGGGCTAGATGAAAAATCTACTTTCCTTTAACTGATTTTAACCACATCAGCAGGAATACCATTTTGTCACTTTCACTGTGAAAGCGATTTGCGTTCATTAAGGTTTGACAGGCCTGAGATCCTTAGCCCTCGACATCTCCACTGGAACCGCTCACGAGCCAGCAGAGGGACACTGTAATGGGGCTGACTTTAAAAGACAATGGTGGAGAAATTACTTTTAAATTTCAGCCACCTAAAGACTACCCATGAGCTATTTCCCATTAAGGGCCACATCCAATCAGCGCACCTCTTTGAAGGTAATGTGCCCATTACCCATGAATAAAACGCATGAATACTGATGAACTTTGTAATTGCTGCCAAGCCCCACTGTCTTACACACAGACATATCCTTCCATGTATTCAATCAGGTGACCTTTGGCCTTGTAGCTGGGCCCTTGCTGCTCGCAAATTAACCTTTGTCTGTGTGTGGAGGCCCTCGGATGCCATCTTGGAGAGGCTTATCGGGATCTAATTGTGATTGGCAAGAGGATGGAAGTTGTGATTAAATCTGGACTTGAGTCGCGAACACTTGGGTGGCTAGCTTAATGAACTGAGCGGCGAGGGGTCACACCGAGGGTAATGGGGATCTATCAGGATTCATCCACATGCAGGTACCTGCGGGGGCCATGGTCACACACACTGAGAACACGGCTGTGTGCATATAATATTTAGCTTGCTATACTCTTACATGTGCTATTTGAATAATATGTCTATGGATATAGGTTTGCATGTGTTCAGTACCTTCAAACGTTGATTAAGTAGCATTATGCTGCACTTCAATTAATATATTTATATAAGAAGACAGATATTCAAAAAATTAATTGATGTAACAAAACGTTGTCTCTGAGAATTAGACAGCACTGTAGTGTTTTAGCAATGGGTAAGGGTTCAGACACATGGATCCGTTACTCAAACAAATTCCTGGAATTAATCTTCTCACTGGTGATACCTGAAACAACACACCCCTACCAATGCAGCATTCACGGACATTCTTCAGTTTAATGGTTTAACCTTTTCTTAATTTAATTATTGTTCTTTTGTTTCACATTTTTGTGTGTTTTGCTGACACCAAGTGAAAACAAGCTTAAAACATCTCCTGACATATTTTCTGCTGAAACGGGCCAAATTATTTTGGACAGAAGTGCAACTTCTGTCCAAAATGTCAGAAACACAGTGTGAAAAATGCTTTGCAAAACTACTGCGACTGCTTCCAAGGAGCTGGCAGGTCGCTGATAAACGAATGCAGAATTAGCTAACCCACTTGGAAAAGTAACACAAATTTGGTATTTGCCCAGGCAGATGCATTTGATGGTTCACTTGTATGTCAAATATAGGGTCAAAGTAAAAGTACTGTACTCCGATAAATGTCAAATTAAGTACCAGATCAAAGTGGCCAATTATTTCAACTACTTTATCGACGTAATTAAGAACAGCACCCATCATTACCCATGTCCACCTATATTGTCTGTGTGTCTGTTTGTGTTTGCAGCCAGTTACCAGGCGTTATTGGTATACAATTTGTTATATCTATAAATACAACTCTACGAAGAAGACAGGAGACGTGATTAGGGAAGTGCAGAAAGATAAATTAACACAAGATGCCTTTGCTCAGAAAGGCATGCCAACAAAATTCACTGTCTGAAATGTTTTGCAGTGAGATGAAGTGCCCCTTCCCCATCGACACACACACACTTGCTCTTCTTCTCTTTCATGCCTTCTTACTTAACATACCTCTTGCATCTATTCTATCTTTAATGCCTGATGTCGGATAATGATGTCTGAACTGCTGTATGTGTATTTGCATCTATGCGCATCTTAATCCTACTCACTGCCTTCTTCCTGCTTCCTCTTTTGGAACTCTTCCATCGCAAGACGCTGGACAGACTGTTTAGATCTGTCTTATGCAATCTTGTGAATCACTGTGCCACCGAGTTACCATGTGCGAAGTCAACAAGTTCAGAGACTGTGGCTGATTCGACGCTGCGATTCTCTGTTGTTCGTCTATTTTGAGTCGACGGAGCTCATTAATTGACTATGTTTCGTCAAACAGGGGCCTTGCTCTTGCCACCACAGCTGTAGCTGTCAGGAAACTGAATTAATATCTGTTTTATGTTGTTGTCTTGCCGTGTAAAGTATACTACTTCTTGGTATGACGATGAATCTTCTAATTTTAAACTGAGGTTAAAACGAAACAGTTCCTTACTCACATTATGAAGCTAAATAGGACAGAGAAAAATATTTCACGTTTTATTTAAATGTATATTTTTGAGCTGCTGACACTGATCTTAACTGTTGGACTATGTACCTTTAAAACTTTGAAACAGGCCTATAAACTGGTCAGGAATTGCTTGGCAACCACTGGTCGCTAGGATAAAATGAGTAGTCCTTGAGCAGCTTCAAGGACTTCAAGTGTTTGCTGGAGGTTGCTAAAACTGATGACTAAAGCTTGATTTAGACTTTCCACTTAGACTGCGGTAAACCAACTTACATACTAACTGCAAACTCTTTTTATTCCTACAGTGCAACTTTCCACACCATTTAATTTGTTGTGGTATGCGTCGACCAGACATATAGTTACATTTCTCAGGAGGTGCATTTCAGGTTGCATAGAAGCTTGCAGCATAAATTTAAAGGGGTTAAAGCGTAAGTTACAACTTAGATCGGACACATTCATAGTAAGCCCCAATCACACATGGAGTAAAGACCAGTCGGTAACTCCACGGTAACCACTGGTTGCTAAGAAAAAAATGTGTATCCCCCAAATCTAAAATTCTTTGCTGTTGCTAGGTGACATTGGCCAAAACGAGCTAGTTGAAGTTGCTAGTTGTACTGAAAACCTTGCAATTGTTTTGGTTGCTAGCAGTTTGTCATGGTCAACCTTAGTTTGTATGGAAGACGCAGGCTTGTCTCCAAACTCTTGTCGACTACGAACCGCTAACAGTCCAGCACAAATCAGAAACACACACTGCTCACCTTCTAAAAAATTTCGGTTTCAACGTAAGGCACAACCTTTACTTTGAAGATTAATGGTTTCCATTATCAAATTGTGTTGCAGTTTGTTCAAGTTTCATTACAGCTCACTGGTTAGTTAGCAAATCTATGTAGACAAGTTGCCATTTTCAATGCAACAATAGGCAACCCGGCAATCTGCTTGCGACCAAAGCAATCACAAGGATGTTTTTGTGCGCAGTACCTTTTATGTGACAAGCAAACATTCACCAACTGATCGGGAAATACACATTTTTCCAGGGAGTAGTTGATGAGTATCTAGGCTTGTGTGACTGAGGCCTTGAATTGAAATTGTCAAATTATTCAACGGGTTGAATTTCTGTGCACGTTTGAACACGTTTTATGGCTCTAAAACTCAAAAACAATTTCACTTTTAAATTGAAGTGTAACAAATGTGTTTCATGGAGTTTGGTCAATGTGAAGATCATTCATCCATGCCAGCTGACGCAAGACTTTAATGAAAAGAGTTAAAAGCCATTATACACACGCTAACATGCTTAGAAAGCAGTTTGATGTTGGGCAGGTATGATATTCACCTTCTTCGTTCATCATATTAGATGTTAACCAGTTAGCACTATAGTGCTAACTGGTTAACATCTAATATGATGAACATATGATGATAACACCAGAAACACAGCTCCACAGGTATGTCCACAGTAAGTAATTAATCCTTAATAATAACAAATATCTTCCTCAGATTTCACAGCAGTCCATAACTAGTTTCAGTTCAGTTT